GTGTTCCCTATTGTGGGCCTGCTCACTCTCTTATAATCCCTTCCTCTTCAATTTTTCCCCCTCAAGGAGAGGGGGGACAAATTATTTCTGTAGGCAATCTTTCTTGTGCCTGAGCCATTTTTTTTCTTATATTCTCCCTCACAAAGCAGAGAGAATGGAGAGGAATGGATTATAAGAGAAAAAGTTAAGCACACAATGAGGAATATACTGGGTGGTTTGCACAATGTGCTTGTGGCTCCCAGTGCCTGAGCATGCTCAGAGCTGCTGATACCACCACATCCCTTTCAATGTGTACTCCCCACTGTGTGCCTGCCTACTCTATTGTAATCCCTTCCTTTCAACCTTCCATTTAGGTTTGTAAAAGAAAAGAAAAAAAAAGGTTGGGGACAGGAACAGACATACTGGTTGCAATGGCAATCACATCACTGAGGGATGCTGTGAAAGTTATAAATACAGGCTCGGTCAAAAAGTTATTTTTTCAGCATCACTGTAATTTCGAACCTACCCCAATGATGTTCAGGAAACTATTCAGACTTTGGGGCAAAGGGTAAGTTGGATGGACTTTCTGTGGTTTAATGTGTTTCTGGGGCCATTTGCAATTCTTTCTTTTTTTTGTTAAAAACTTTTTGTTTTTAATTATTTCTAAGGGAATTGCATGGCCTATAAATTGTATAAATGCAAAGAACAAAAAAAAACCCACAATACTAATCAAAATCAAAACAAAGGATCCAGTTGCTCAATACAGTGAAAAGTATATTGACAGACTAAAATCTTATTTTAAATTGCATTTTATTTTTTTTCTCCAAATGGACAAATCTTATTACACATGGATTCTCTATAGAGGTAAAATAGAATAGAGTACTTTTAAGTACTCCAGAATCTACCAGAGAAAATAAAAAGTGGGGAATGGGGTTAATAGCCAGGAATTCTAAAAATTGGGCCATGGTAATTTAAGTCTGAGTGCTATAATGTTACTCTTCTTCTCTTGATGAGTAGGTATTATATAGCCGGAGTCAGGGAACTTCTCCATTATTTACTGACCACTTCATGGCCACACCTTATTTGTATAAAAGACATAACTAAATGACCTGGATATCTCTAAATTTGCTTTTAGATTCCTAAATAGCACATAAGAGCATAATAAGTTCAAGAATTTCCACACAACTAAAGAACAGGTATCCAGGTTAAACCATTCAAGTATTATGTTAGAACGTACCCATTAAGAATCTGACAGGTTATAGACAGTGGTGAAATCTGAAGCTGACCTGAAAGATTATTTTACAAATGAAGACAAATTTAATATTTTAACTATGCTGAAATCATTAGAATTTTGGGAAATGATTTCAATGGCAAAATTAGATAAAAAGTAAATAATACATATAAATGTATGTTCAATTCTACACTGGAATTATCTGGAAATTCATTTTTTCAAAAAATGTAAATCATATGAGTGAAAAGAGACAGAGAAGCATCCCTCTTCCTTCACAGCAGGAAAGAATTCTTTTAGGCAGTTATGATCTTCTATTTACTCCCTTCCAAAATTCAGGAATACATAATCAAATGTACAAAACGAGATTTGCCACTGATTTATTGCATGAAAATTTAAATCTTTGCAATGCATAGGAAGTTTTCAATTAACAAAAACAAATCCCACAATTAACAATTACCAAGGCAAAAAAAAAAATCCACAAGGCCCTAAAACAGCAAGTTTTAAGATCTTTTCTTATTCTCAGTAGTCCAATTTGGACAAAACAATAAAGTCTGGTCAGTTTTAAACCTCTGAATTTAAGAATCACATTCTTAAACTTATGGTGTTACTAAGCCAGTTCAGAATATAAAGACACAACAGTAAAGTCACATGATCATGGAATAAATACAGATGTTGCTCAATTGGTATGGCAACATGTATCAAAAAGTATACTGCTGATCTACCAACAGCCTAATATTTGGGCAAATAAAAAAATCCTAACATTTCTCTTTCTGCAAGTGAATCTGAGACTATTAAACTGATTTCTGAAGATCTGCAGCAATACAAAAAGCCAAACTATGCACCTATATTTCAGTTAAAAAAATCCAGTCATACAAATGAAATTTATGATTTTCCAAAGTCTATGCACTGCAATAATTAGATAATAGTAGTTTCATTATTTGTTTTTTGTTGTTTTAGAACACAATTTATAATTTGTAAGCTACCTACCTAGTTTATATATAAAACAGAGAAGCTTTCACTACAAATTGCAAGAATAATTTATTTATTTATTATTTCAATTTATATCCCGCCCTTCTCCCGAAGGACTCAGGGCGGCTCACAACATTATTAAAACAAAGAAAGACCCACACACCCCACCGAATAAAACCAAATTAAAACCAAAATTTTTATGTTGTGATAATTAAAATTTCTAAAAAACCCGGTTTAAAAATCCTCCCTAGGCCAGGCCCGCTTGTTGGAAAAGCCATGTCTTGAGGGCGCGGCGGAAAGTAAGGAGATCCGGAATAATCCGGATCTCGGGGGGTAGTTCGTTCCAGAGGGCAGGGGCACCCACAGAGAAGGCCCTCCCCCTGGGGGTCGCCAGCCGACATTGCTTGGCCGACGGCACCCTGAGGAGACCCNCCTGGTCACGGCCGACAAATGGTCATCCAGTGCCAGCCGCGAATCCAGGAGGACTCCCAAGTTGCGCGCCCTCTCCGAGGGGGCCAAAGTTTCGCCCCCTATAGTCAGCGATGGTGTCAGCTGACTATGCCGAGGCGCTGGCAACCACAGCCACTCGGTCTTGGAAGGGTTGAGCCTGAGTCTGTTCCTCCCCATCCATGCAATGGGTAAAACTCAAATTTATATCCGCATATGTGTTTGTAAAAAGTGCAGATGTCAGCAGTATCATTTTAAAAGGAAATAAAACTAAACATAAATCATTGCAATGATTCATGACATTTTATTTGCCTTTAATTAAATATGCTGCAAACTGCTGGCTCAAGAATGTGCCCATTTACTTATGTTACTCTTATGAACTCTACTGGTTGTCATTTTTTTTCTATTTTTTTATGTATACATGAAATACTTTTGTAGCCAAAACATCCACATGAAACGGATTGGTGAAGATCCAAGATTTGCAGAAGTACACAAAATATATACTATAGGCAAAAAAATTATTAAGAATTTCCCCTTTGAAAGGGTTATTCAATTTCACATACATTTTAACAACCACAGTTCTTGTCCTATTGAATAAAAGAAATCAGAATAATTTTCTAAAAATAAAATACTTAAGAAGGTAAGATAATCTGTACTTACAAAAAAGGAAAACATCAGATTAAAGCATTAAAATCACAGCAAGTGAAATCTTGTTCGTAAAAATGAACTAATAACTGTTTTCACAAACATATAAAACTGTTAACAAAAAGCAATCCTACAGAAAGCCTGAAACTGTAAAATAAAAAAGGAAACCATTTGAATGAACTATGTTCATTAGTAGGTACTATTTAGGCATCTTATAAAACTGTTTCTAGATAATTGTACTTTTAAAGATGGGATTACCTTGTTTAGGAAAACAAGTTTATTTATTTAGAAAATTTATCTGCCACTTATCTTTACTGAATAAACCACAATTATATGAACGCACTCAATTATATTGTAAATCAATGTGTTAAATGAACCTAAGTAGAACAGTTTCACTGATAATGTAACAGTGAATTTTGGCTGGTGTAACCTCATGTTCTATCAATATTAATTCTGCCTCATCTTAAGTGATGTTTTTGAAGTTAAGTAACTCTGAGTTCCGTAAATAAATAAGGAAGTGACACTCCAATATTATTAAAGGCTGATAAGGAACCAGCATTTTCATTTCAGGTTCAGTACAGAAACTGGCATCAGTTCTTTCTCCAAGACATCCAAGGAGAGAGTAATCTTTTTTTTAATACCGGCATTTGAGAATATCTCGGGCTGGGCCCAACTCATAGAAAGAATACAAGACTAAACCCAAGAGACCTAACTTTTCTCAAAGAGGAATGAATCCACGCCTAGCTCACCCTGTTGACAGGCGGAGGAAGTTCACTGCTTCCCGATACAAAACAACCGCCGCTCCATCACGAAACTCGGGGGAAAGAAAGGCAACACACACGCGTCCTTTTTTTCTTTTTCTTTTACAGACGGGCTTTCTTCGACTTCCTTCTCCTTTCCCAAAATGTCGCTCACGAGACCTTTTGGTTCCAGCGCCAGAACGAAACCCCAAAGAAAAAGGAAAAAAAAAAAAAAAAAAGCGAGGGATCGAGACCGACGGTCCCTCGATCCGGAGAAAGGGCGCGGGTGTTGGGACGGTGCGGGTGTGTGGAAAACAAGGTTATCTGGTTCGCCGAGAGGAAAGCAGAACGCGCGACACGCCGATCCGGGACTCAAAGGTGCAACGGAGAGCCGAGGAGGCGCTCCCACCTCCCTCTTCTGGATGGAGACATTTTGCGAGCGCTTTGAGGCGACCCTCCGCTTGGCTGTAGAACCGAGGGGACTCGTCCCCCGCTTCGTGCGGAGGGCTCCTCCGAGGGAGCCCCAGGGAAGAGGGGGCAAAGACTGTCCCAAAAGGGAAAGAGCTCTCCAAGGCCGCCCCTTCTCCGTCAGGTTCCCTGCCGCCCTCCTGCGGCCGGGCGTCCCGAGGCAAAGCCAAGTCAGGCGCCGCTACCGCCTCGACGCGAGGGCTCCGGGGATGCCTGAACTCCCCCACGGCCTCTCCACCGCGGCTCGACGGCCCCAACCGACGGCACCTTAACGAGCAACCAGAGGGAGGGAGGGAAGAAAGCGTGGCAGAGAAGGAAATGGACCCCCGTCCTGCCGCTCTCGTTCCCTCGCGACTAAAAGATGCCCGGGCTCCGCCGAGTACCTTCCCCAACATGGCCGCGAATCCCCCTCCGACGGGGAAACTTTCCTGAGCTCCGCCGCCCCTCCGTCAGCCTCTCCCATCACCTGACTCGCTTCCCGACGGGCTTCCCGAGCCCTGCCGCCCAAGTGCGCCGCTTACTTAGCAACCGAAGCGCGCCTTCCCCAGGTCAGCGGCTGGCCGATCTCTCTCTCTCTCTCTCTCTTCGGGCTTCCTCCGCCGCCGCTGCTGGGACTAATCTGCTACCGACGCCCCGCCTGCCGAGGCGCGCACACACCCAAACCGGCCTCCCCACTGCGGGGAGGAGTCCCAGCTTCGACCACAGCCGCCCGCCCGCCCGCCCGCTCCATTCCCGGAGGAAACTTGAGAGGCGGAGCCAACGCCATCTTGGGAGAATCGGCGGACGGAGCGGATTGGCCGCTTGAAGGGAAAGAGGCGGCTCCAGCCTATGGCGGTTAATCCTCAAAAATGAGGGGGCGGGCTTCTCGTTTTTAACGGCTGCGAACGTCGGGGGGGGGGGGCTGGCAGCGATTCTTTTGCGTGGTTTTGACAAGCTGTGCGCGCGTTGGGCCCTCCTCTCCGCTCTTAGCTCGCGGGCCCTGGAAGCGTTGGGTTAAGTATAAACTTTTAAGAAAAATTGCGCAATTTATGTGCAAGGGCAAGCCAACCTTGGATTAAGCATTACGCAAAACAAGCGCGTGCTTAGGGCACTCGGGAACGGGGGCATCCCAGGGTTTTTCTCCGTAGCTGTCATGCCCTCCTTCCCTCTTTCACTGCCGTACTCGACTTCACTCTGGGGGGTTTTTTTTGGTTCGGCTTCAGTTTGAAAATAAAGTTGTTTTTTTTCTTGGCGTGGGAAGTGACTGAAATTTAAAGTTTGAAGTTGTGGACCGATATTCAACTTACTTCTCCCGGCGAGAGTCTTGCTGCGGTGGAGAGCAAACTTTTCCCCCCCCCACTTTTAAAACCAGGGAGGACCTCAAAAGAACTTTTATTTATATGGGTTGTTTATCGATCTTTACCGTACCATAACTTAAAATTGATGTACTCATACAATATTAATGTATTGAATCGTGCAAAAATAACAATATGAAACCTATAAACATGTTTTTTCATGAAAATAATCTATGCAATTTTTTTTAAAAAAAAATGAGTACGTGATCGTTTAAAATGTTTGCAAATCTCAATAACTAGCAAATAATTTTGATTTCATGAAACCTGAGAGGATCTTAGAGACCCCAAGGGTCCTCAGACCACACTTCTTTTAAGAAACACTGATTTAGAACCTCATTTGGCTTTAATTAGCCCTGGAGTAAACCAGGAAGGTTTCATGGCTTAAATAGGGGTCTATGTTGATGGGGGGGGGAGCAAAAGTAGGATGCAAGCAACCTCTCCCTTTATCTGAACAGCCAACAAAGCTTTGAAAAGTATAGTTGGAGCAGATAGCAGTGCAAGGCAGTCCACTATGGCTGGGCTCAGATGCATTCAGGACTGCAGATTTATTATCACAGCATCTCTTGAGTTGCTCTTTACTTACAGAAAATGTAAGAGAACTGCCAGTCTGCTTTATGTAGACTTGTACTAAATTTGTTGCAAGGTTGAGTTAGAAATGACCTGCGTGTGTGTATGTGGAATTGTGAAAATCAGCAATTAGAACTGTATTAATATATTTTTATCCTTTCCAATTTTAAAGATAAATGGTTATGACAAAATCTGTTTTTGGAAAAGAAGGCTTGTCTTGAGTGCAAAGTGAAGGATAAAACGAGGAACATACAAGTGAAGCTCTACTTCTCCTGTAACCTAACTTCCATGTGCAAGATAATGCTGGGCTCAGCCCCATGACAACCAACATGCTCTACCCTTTGAATGCTTTGCATGCACAGAGGCATCTTACCTATTTTGGTTGGCTTGGCTTAGTAGAGCGCCTCAATTCTTGATAAGTGTATGTTTGAGAAGTTTAAATAGTGTACATACCAAAAGCAATCAAATCATCTTTTTTAAAAATTGTAACAATATCATTCAAATGTTGTCATGAAGAATAAACAAGAAAGGAGCCAGAATCAAGTCAGGAAACTTGTGTAAACAGTTCAATTATAAGCTTGCTGGAAAACATGTTGGAGTTTTAAAATGTTAACTTTTTACTGTCCATCTGCAACCATACCTACACAGGGTGTGTGTGTGTATACATATACCTGTAAATAAGATCCACTTAAGGATATGCAGTTTCTTCTTTCAGTAAAAGTATTGGTTTTTTTATTATCGGAAAGCAATAATTTCATTGTATTCTGTATTGTCCAGGCTCAACTGGGTATTGTGTCAAATTCTAGGCAACACTTGTTTCAGAAATATTAGAATAAGTTCAAGAAAGGACAGCAAGGATGATCAGGAAAATGGAAATGAGAGACTGGATATATTTAGTATTAAAAACAGCTAGCTGAAAAAGAATACAATAGTACAGTGGTGGCGAACCTATGGCACGGGTGCCAGAGGCGGCACTCAGAGCCCTCTCTATGGGCACGCACACCATCGCCCCAGTCCTAGGCCTTCAGCTGGGTTTTATAAAACCTTTTTGCTTTAGGCCTCCACCGCTGTGCAAAAAAAAAAAAAAGGTTCAATGAATCAGTCAATTTCAACTTCTCACAGGAAAAAAAAAGATCTTGCAAAGTTGGAATTGATTGATTGAACTTTTTGGTCCCACCCAGGCTGCCGTTACCACCGCAGCCACGCCCAGCCAATGGGCCACACCCAGCCAATGCGCCACACCCAGCCAATGGGTCACACCCACCCGGCACCCGACGATGCATAAGTGGATTTTGGGTTGCAGTTTGGGCACTCGGTCTCTAAAAGGTTCGCCATCACTGCAATAGTATAACACAGAAGGGAGCCATGATCTGTACTTTATCACAGAGTGCAATAAATAAGATAATGGACTTAAGTTACCAGAAAGGCAGATCTTGATTCTCTAGTAAAGTAAAAAATCCTAGTAGTTTGACAATCTAATTATCAAGGGACATTACAAACAATCCTTTGCTGAATGTATTTAAGCAGACGCTAAAAAGTTATCTGAGATGCTTTAATTTGGATCCTAATACAAAGAGTTGAATTTCATACCATAAATCATGATTGACCAATTTTTTGGCTTGCCTGGGCCACACTGAGTGAAGAAGAAATGTCTTGGGCTGCACATAAAATATATAATATAATTAATGTACATAAAATCATATAAGTTTACAATCTTGCGGGACCACATTACCAGCTATCTAGGGCCACCTGCATCTCACTGGCCACAGGTTGGACATGCATATGATAACCATGTCCTGCTCTATGGTTCAATGGATAAAGAATATCTCTGAATAGTTTGTAGATTTGAGGTTTTTTTTAAATGTTAACACTGGGACCAGAAGACCTCAGCACTAATCTTCAATCAAGGAGCTCACTGGCCCACTACTTGGGCCAAGCAACCTTTATTGGGGTAATTCTGAAATTAAAACAACAAAAGACTTTATAAGCTCCCCAAAGAATGACACAATATAAATGTAATAAGTATACCACTGGAAGATGAAGAAACAGAAGATGGAAAAAGTAGAGAATACTGAAAGATAACAAAGACCAATACAAAAACCTTTAGTAGAAATATCAGTATTTTTTTCTTTTAGTAAAGAGAAACTACTAGATAACAGATTAAGGAAGAAGCAATCATCACAAAGCACATATACTGCAATCAGTATTTGAATGAATATACAGTATACAGTACAATCAGAATATATTGTAAGTATCTTCCTAGTCATTAGTAAGACAGAATTCCATAATTGCTATATTTGCTATGAGGAAGAAAATGAGAAATGTTTTTACCATGTCAAGAAGAAAAGTATTAATACACAAGCACTTGTGCTAGCATATGCACACGTTTATAAAAGCAGGACAGCAGATACATAAGACTACTAGAAAAGTATATGAAAATATGTCTTAGTTTTCCAAAACCCCAAGTAGATAATAACAGTTTCTTGCAGTGAGAATTCCTTGTCGTTCAATTTTGATTTATTTAAGGCATGTGTTGTTTTGTTAAATGAGCTCCACCCAGATTGAGCTATTCACAGAGAGAAGCAAAGGGAAGTGAGCAAAAAGGAAGAAATAATTTCTCTGCTGAATAGTGAAGGAGAGATTGGACACCCATTTGTCTGAAATGATATATAAGGTCTCCAGTTTGAGCAGTGGGTTGGACTAAAAATCTCCAAGATCCCTTCCAATTCTGTTATTTTGAGTATAAAAACGAGCAGGTTTTGGGCATTTCCCAAATTATATGGTCACAGATACTATCTTGAAGAAATATTACACATCAGTGAGTAATAAAACCAAATGTTGCTGTTCTGATTAATGAAAAATACTGCAGGCTAAGTAGCAAAACTAAAATTATGGGCCCTGGTGCTCTCTGAGCTTGGTGGTTTTTTGCAGATGTTTCATTGCCAAATTAAAATTTAATTACAAAATAAAATTACTTTGTAATTTTTATTTAATAAAAATATCTTTAGTGCCAAATCACCGTATTTACTTCATTTTTTACTCAATGTATGAAAATACTTCAGTATTATGCTCCTCTGGCTAATAATCTAATCCTCATTCTGCATGCATGACAATTTGAATCTTAAAACCATGGCAGTTACAAGTCATGCAGCTTAAATTCTGGAAAGTTGCATGGTAATAATACTCCCTTGCTCTGATTATTTTTAATGTTCATTTGTTTTCATTTATTAGGAAGATGAGTATTACTGTTTATGTCACTAAACTGGCATTGTCAGACCAAGATAAATGGCTGACGGTTTTTCTCCACTGCTGTGCTAGTCCACCAGTCCTTGACTGGGAGAAAACTTATACCAGCATAATATTTGCTGTCTCCACTCCTGATCCTTCTGCTGCTGTTACTGTAGTCTTCAGTTTATGACTGATCACTTAGTGACCAAACTTACAACAAATCTCCCCAGTTATTTTCAACCCAATTTCAAAGTTCCAACAGCCACTGCCCCTCCGGGATTGCATGGTTGCATTTTGAGTGCTTGGCAACCAGCCTACATGTATAGCCATTTACAGCATGCTGTGTCATATGACTGCAATTTATGACTTTTTGTCAGATACTGTTATTTACTTCCAGTTTCTGGCAAAAAAAAATGCCTATTGGGTACAATGGGTTCACTTAGCTGCCACTATACAAAAGG